TAATAAAATATTTTTAAAAAATATGTCTACGTAGTGAAATATACAAAAAAAATAATAAATAAAATTTGACTTCCATTTTTCCATTCCATTTTTTTACGTGGCTTAATGCACTTCTAAATGAACTTTAGCTCAAGATTACAATAAAAAGATGTTGAGCACATCGAGTTTATTTATATGCAAATGTACATAAGAACATATTAAGTATACGCAGTATATCTGTTAATGTAAGAATCAGAACTTGAAGCTGAGTCGCCACTGCCATGACCATCTCCATCTGTCTGTCCGCACATCCAACAGTTTATTAGTCTGTCTGTCTGTTTGCCACTCTCTCTCTCTCTACCTGTCCGCCTACCTTTCTGTCTGGATGTTTGTCTATCAGTCTCATGCTCTCTCTGTCTATCTGGTTCGCCCTCTCTCTCTTTTCCTCCCTATCTGTCAGAATATCTGTCTGTCTATATGACTTTCTGTCGGTCTGTAACTTGAAGTTTATATAGCCATAGAAAGGTGTTGCTGTGCTTTCAATATTATTTGTGCAGCTCATTAGACGCTTATTAGAGCATGTGCTTATTTGCATTTAATTTAAGTTTCACACAAATATATAAATATATAGTATAGATCTGCTGTGAGTTCATTCACAGCCAACTTATCAGAAATATATAAATTTATATAGTAAAAGTAGAAATGTATATAAAGAACTAATTATTTCGCCTTGTCTTCAAAATATAAGTCAATATTTATTTTTAGTATTTAACATATGCCAATTTGTCTGTCTGTCTGTCTGTCTGTATGTTTGTGTGAAAATCACATTATGTAAACTTTTCGAGCAAAGCGTTTTCCACTTCAAATGCGAGTATTTTCGTTGTACTCATTTCCCTTATGCCTGAGTATTGCAAAAGCACTGAGCGAACTGCGGATGCAATAAAATTATTACCGCCTAGAACACAAACAATTAGAAGAAGCAAAAAGAAAGAAGAAAAGCCAGTCAAGGCCAAGAAATATAGTTGGGATATAGCTGGGGAAAAACTAGGGAAAAACCATATGCTGAGCGGGCAACGGCATGACTCAGCTGCAACAAATGCTCAATAAAAGATTTATAGCTTCAATGAATATTCAACTTGAGTGTGTTAAACAACAGCCCGACAAGAATTGCTCAAAAATGAATGACTGTGTGAGATTCAACCGAAAGAAACGGAAAATAAAAATGCTCGCACTTTGCATTTGCTGCTCGAAGTGAGGGTGTGTGTGTGCAGCATTGAAAATTGCGAATGCAAATATAAACAAGTATTCAATGTTTACAAAGCTCAGAGACAGCTAGCGCAACGGCTATAGCAACAGCGCGCAGCGCACGTCGCACAGCGCGCAGCGCATAACAAAAATTACGCATACGCCAAGGCGGTCCATGAAATAAAAACTGCAAATATTTTTGTTAATTCTCGCCACATACATGTACATATACGGCCTTATTGAAGCGTAGCAGTCAGCAATTATAACAGCTTATCGAAATATTTTATTAACATTTAACAGTTTGGCTAAATAATTGCACATTTTTTAGCTTGATGAAAATTAATTTAAAAAAAATTATTTTTGCCTAATTGATTTTGAAATTTTAACTAAAAATATTTTAAGCTTTATTAAGTGTTTTATTAAAATGAAATATTAAAATATAATAATGAAATAATAAATATAATAAAAATAAATTTAATTATATAAATATCTGTATGTATATTATATATATCTAATAGACTAGCTGCACAAATCAATATTTCATAGTTCCATATATTATATATATATTTATATATAATATTTAAGTACACTTTCAATATACTTTGAGCTCAACATAAAGAAATGTCTTGACAGAGTAGCTGACTGTCAAGTTGAATGCCGAAGAAGAATCATTTATATGTCTCAGTTGATTCTATGAGCTCTTTGAACATGTGCTCGCCCCTCATTTTGTAGCACAGATAAACATTGCTCTTTGGTTCAGCTTTGCTTTGCCGCAGTCAACACTCCACGTTTGCTTTTCACACAAAATTTCTCACAGATTCTTTGCTCAATTTCTTGGAACTGGCCAAAATCAAAGAAGGCCAAGGCAGAGGAACCTATCAAAACTTAGCTGAACATTCTAAATGGACGTTCTTGTCGGCATAGGGCAGCCACATGAGCTTAACTAACACAAGTGGAATATACGTAGCCCGCGGAGTCAAAATTGAACATGTTAATTTAAACCTATTCTAATCAAACTCAAATACTAGAATCAACTATTTATGCACTTTATTTTTATATGTATATAATTTATATATAAAGATAATAGAATACCTATATATAATACCTATGCTTTAAGGCATAGAAATAGCTTTAAGGAATGACTAAAGAGGATTGCTAAGCTGCAAGAATTCATTAGCTTCTGTGCCTTAGTAAGTTATCATAATCTCAATATTTATATAAATTCATAACTCAAACACATTTTAACCATAATAGCTAGACAGCTCTAATCTATTCTTTATTTACCATTTGCATTTGCGCATTTGTTTAGGCAACTTCTCTCTTTTTTTCAGCTGTGCAATGAAAGAACCGCCTCACTTTAACTCTTAACTTCTGGAAGCCGCAATGCCTAAGCTTTGCTCACATTTCGAGCATTTCTCATATCCATATACTAATCACATTTACTCTTTAAATAACTTGACTTTTGCATTTTAGCTGGCGAAATGCAATTTATTTTTAATTAGCAAATAACCAAAAACCAGAGAAAAATAGAAAAAGCGTGGAGCGAAGGGAAGGGCAGGCGTGGCAGAGAGTGAGACGCAGCAATAGCTTTTTGGCTGGCTTTCGCATTGGTTCGTGTAAGTCCTTAATTAACCGGCGATTAATTATTTGCCAATTTAACCCTCATCAACTGCTTGCCAGAGCACTAATTAGAAGCGTCGCCGCATGTGCCACGCCCACGCAACGCCTATACACTCAGGCACGCACACGCACGAGAGGAAGGCGCCTACCGCTGTGCCTCTGTTGATATGTAGAGTATCATTTGAGGCACATTTATAAATGGCAACAGCAAAAAAACTTTATTTCATGAAAAGGCATATATAGGGCATATGTATGGCGTATAGATGCCCATACACACACACACTCACACACGCACATAAATGCTGCTTTGTCTTGCTGTTTTGGGCCATTGTTTGCGGCACGTTGCTGAAGTTAAAGTTGCCGCAGCAACTTGTAATTAACTGAAAAGCAAAAAAAAAAACCACAGCAACTTGGCCCAAAGTTTTCATACACGTTCGCATAGAGAAGAGGGTATATCGGTGCCTTATTGCAGCTTTGTATATGTGCTCGTGTCTGCCCACGCCTCATGAAGTATGCTCATTGAGCGCTTAGCAAATTGGCAATTAGCAAATCTTTTGCAGCTAAAAAGCTTTTAATTTAGAGCAGTTTTAAGCCTAGAGATTTGCAAATTTGGAATCGATATATATATATATATATATATATATATATATATATATATATATATAAATATTAGAGTATGTCAATCGGGTATATAAAAAGTTTAGCTTTTTTCGCTATGCTTATTGAGCGCGTAGAAAATCTTAAGGATTTGTATCTTTCTAGCTTTGCTCTTTGGGGCAGTGGCTAAACTCCCTCTTTATAGTTAGCCTTTAAATTGTTGTTATTAAGTTTGTCTACAAATTGTCAAAAATGCAATACATGCAGTTAGTAGGGGCATGGCAAATGAGTACTTACTGACTTTACTAACTTTATGCCTCACAATTTTGACAGCAAGAACTTTAAATATTTTTTAATTTTTTTTTTTTTTTTGATTATATTTATAAAAGTGTAGAACCTGTACAATCAAATTTAGTACCTTAACAACACATGTATATATTTTTTAATAGTTTAGTATTGCCGCTTTCTGTAGAGAGACTTAAAGTTATATTGAATGGTAAATATATAAAACTGTGTATTTTATATTTTTAGAATAATTTATAATTTTATAATATATAATTTAATAATTTTCGAAAGCCAAATTCCATAGCATTTGCTCTATAGATGAAGCTAAAATCTTAAGACATATTTTAAATATTTCTCTGCAGCACATTTAAAATATCTAAGATTAAAGTTCGATAATTTACTATCATTACTATTGACCTACTCTACAGAATGACTATATAGACACACAAATGCGAAGTTTCATAAACAGCAAAAACTATTTCTTTGCACAGCCTTTGAGCTGAACTCAAACTGTTTAGATCAGTGTTGATCTGCTCTGCAACTAGATTCATAAATAGTTGTATATAAATTGATTTCTATATAAATTTAACTATATATTTAGATCCCGAGCGAGCATTAGGCAGTTGCCAACATTCTGCGCAGTCATTTCCTTTTCGTGCCTAATCTCTGGACTAAGCTTAAGCCAGCTCCAAAATAGCAAATAAATGTAATACAGTTTTATGCCCAGTTATTCATATGGCCGTCTGCGGCTGCTGCTGTAGCTGCGTGTGCCATAAACATTTTTAATGCCAAAAAACTGTTTTTTTTTTTTGGGTAACAAAGAGAAAAAAGGATGCGGCCTTGTTTATGGCTGAAGACAATGAAAAGCACTGGCAATGCCAACGGCTGGAAGCGTGTCGGCTCTCCTCCCTCTCTACCTCTTTCTCTGTGTCTCTTTCTCTCCTTGCTGAGCTATTGGACATTTCAATTAGGTTAATATGAACGCGTGTCTGTTAAAAGCATTTATAGCATGTGGGCGTGGCAATTATTGGCCTCATTTCCATTAAAACTAATTACGCGGCAAAGCGCGCAGCCCCTTCTCTGACACCACACGCCAACGCCCCCACCCTTCCGCTCACTCCCCCTCTCTGCCTCTCCCTTTTGCTCTATAGTTTTAAAAATAAATATCAACGCTTGAATGCGTTTTTGATTGATCTACTAAATGGCCATGCTGGTCAGCTCAGATAAGCATATAGTCAGCACTGAATACCCCTGCTTCAATCTTTTTTACTCACTTTAATATCCTTTCGGCGTGCTTTTGTCGTTATTTGATTTTGGTTTTGGTTTGTTTTGTTGTGCTTTGTGATTTGCACGATTATCTCATAATTAAATAATATTCATTCACATTGTCCGTTTTGTTCTTGTTGTTCTTGCACTTTAATTACATGAGTTGGCACAAAATTGCGTTTGCGCTAAACGAGTTTTGTGTTGTTGTGGGTGGGAAAAAAAGTTCAGTTGGAGTCTATGGGGTGGGTGGGTTGGCGTGTAGATTGCTATGCCAAGTGGTCTTCTCTCATTTACATTTTATGCATATTTTAATTGCTCGCAGGCTAAAAAATTCGAAGGCAGCTTTTCACTGTCCGAAACAGAAGCGAAAGAAAAAGCGATGAACAATGAAGCTGGACAGGCTGTGGGGGTGGAGGCGCTGAGCGGAAGTTGAGATCTAAGTTTTGTTTTTTTTTTTTGTTTGCTGTGGTCAATGCACTTGGCTGGAGACTTAGCCGTGGGGCAGCAGCTGGGGCGCTGAGGGCGCTGAGGGCGCTGGGGCCGCTGGGGTTTATTTTTAATTGAAAATTAGAGCGAAAAATACAGAAGTTTGTCCTTGAGCCAGCGCTAGCCTTGCACAATTTATGTACAATTTTTTTCTTCTTTGTTGTTTATTGAAGTTCAATTGGCGAAAGTTTTTCAATTAAAAACCTATGCAAAAGCTTTTATAGATATATATATTTTTTAAAAGAGTTTTGCTTGACCAAATGGCATTTTGAGTGGCGGTTGGGTTGGCCTACGACTGCTCGCAATGCTAACAGCTAATTGGTTTTTTTGTGCTGATAAGAGTTGACACACGCACACACACACATACACACACATATATGTATATAAAATTGGATATTGGAAAGCATTGTTGACATTTTAATATCAATCTCCATCAACAGAGTGAGATTACCGCTCTGGATGCAAATTGGGAATTGCGAATGGGCATGTGAAGGGCGGAGACAATGATAAATGCAAACGAATTCCATTAAATAAAAAACAAACAAAAAATATATATATATATAAATGCAATGCAGAATGCCATCAAGAACGTATACAATAATAAAGAGTAATAAAGAGTATGCAAAGAGGAAGCACACATAAATTAAGCATATTATTACGCTGGCTAATGGATAACACCTGGTTTGGGGCAATGGCAAGCGGGTAGGGGGCAGAGGGGTCGCTTGTTTGACAGCGCCATCGAACCGAGAACACAACACAAGACCAAACATAAACAGATGAAGATGAAACACAGAAACACACACACACACACATACACTTAAGCTGCATGTATGTGTGTGTTAGAAAGTGGGTAGAGTGGGAGGTTAGCACACATTTATTTACACTTCACTCAGTTGGCCAATGGGGTTGCCTGCTGCAGCTGCTCACTTCGCGCACGTTTCGCATTCAGCTATATAGAACTGTTTTCTCTTGATGTTCTTTTCTGTAGTCTTATGCAGCCGCTAAATGTACCGTACGCTTTGAACTACAACGAGGAACTGAAATGGCAAATGGAATGCCAGGCACTCCGAAACAGGCGCACACACAGAAAAGCTTCAGCGGACGGAACGAGCTGGCAATGAAACAGAGCGTAGCGCCAGAGAGTGTGAGTGAGTGCACGCCACGTGCTGGGGGTGGTGAGATTGTGTGAGTGAGCGAGAGAGAGAGAGAGAGTGTTCTAGTATGTTGCGCTAGGGACACTTGTAGCTCGGCTTCAGCCATGTTGCCGAAACACAAAATGTTGCTGAAACTATTAAAACTGTTGCAGCAAACTTTTGTATGTAAACAATTTTCGTTGTCTGTTTATTTGCTTTACGAACTGACAAAATAAAAAACAATTAATTTTTTAACGCAAACGCTACCGTTGAGTTCTGGCTAAGTGTGGGTGAGTGTGTAAACACAAACATTGGGCCATCTGCATGCTGATAAGATAAACAATTTGAGTCAGGGATCAGGCGGCATTAGCTCGTGTATATCTATACATGCGTTGCTGTTGCTGTTGCTGCTGCGGCCGCTGCCACTGCTGCTGTTGCTACTGCAGCTGTTTTTGCCTGGCGATATATGTCAATCCCGGGCAGACAGCATCGTCGCAGCGCCGAAGCAAAAGCGCCAATGAGCGCACAGCAACCAGGATGAGATAGCGCGAGTGAAAGAGAGAGCGAACAGCTGAGCTTTATATTTCAGTCCATTTCGCGCTCAATTGCTTCAGCTCAATGTTCCAGTTCGTTTCATTCCAATTTCGTTGCGTTTGCCATTTGGCGCGCATTTAAAATGCATGTCATGCGGCGCGTCTGCTTTAATAATTTTACGTGCATTAAATTGCCACTAACTTAATTGTTTATGCCAAATGCAATAGCAGCTACTGGTTAAGAAATTTATGTGGCGCTGATGACACCAAAAACCAAGGCGTTGAAAAAGCTGTTAAGAAAAAAGAATATTTTTTGAGCATCGTCTTTGGTGACATTAACAAGACACGAAAACAACCCTTTTAGCCCCAGCTAACATTTGTTTACCACACACACGCAAACGCACACGCACACAGAGACAGAGAGACAGGCACTCTCGCATGTAAAATCCTGGCAAACAAGGATTTAATGCTCTTTTGTGCCGTTGTCGCAAATTAGGCAGGTAGATTTATGAACTGTGACTGAAGGCACACGTGACAGCTACACAGAAGATGCCATTAGACGACTGCCGACTTTAAGGCGTAATTACAATTGTTTCAAACAATTCGTGTAGCATTGAACTGTACAAAAAGGTGTTCATTAACATTCGCATAAAAGCCGTTATTATAATGGCGAAAGTTACACGCGAAATGCCAACGAACTTTTTGGGGCCAAAGCAAAACTACAAATACAACAAAAGCTTTGCTCCCGCCCACCACCTGGCCAGCTTTGCCACGCAGGTGTCTTTATTCGTCTGCTGCAAATGAAGCATGATTAGGTAGCAAGAACGACAAGAGCTTTAAGAATGGGTTACTGCTTAAGCATTAGCATATCGTGTGACTGCCCTCTCGCTCTCCCCCTCTCTCTCTCTCACTCACACCCTACTTGCCACAGTCCCTGCCCCAGCGCCCAATCAATTTCAATAGTTAATAAGCTGCTGAGCGTCATGCGGCGTCTCCTTTCTTTGTTTGATGCCAGTAATTGAATCTCCTGTTGCGCGTGCCCAGCGGACTGCGCTTTTTGCACGAGTGTGTGGGTGTGTGCCTGTGTGTGTGTGCGTGTGTGTGGGCTGCATAAATTAATTGATTTACTAAGCACTTGCTGTGTGCGTGTGCATGCAAACTATAGTATTCAGCCCTGTTGCCAATTAGCACGCGCGCTGCACACGCTGCGTATGCGTAATTCGCGTACAGCGAGCGGCAAATCAACAACGTTTTATGGCCTCAAGCAAAAAAGGGTCAATGTTTAATGGGCCACAAAACCCGAACACAATTTTGAGATGCTCATAAATTCCTGACAGTTTCCAGGCTTAAATGGCCCTCATAAAAAGGGGAGAAAACAATCTAGAATATAAATATATTTATATATATATATATGTGGGCGTATCTAGAGCCGCATTAAAAAATCGGTTACCTGTGCAGGTGTTGAAAATTCAATTTTAGCCACACTTTTCAATTTTGCACTAATTCAACATTTTTTGGCTTAAATGTGAGCTGCAAGTTAATCCGCTTTGTCAGTGAATTGTTGCTGCAGTTGCTCTCTGGTTGCACTCGCTGCATGCCTCAAAATCACAGTTAGCCAGCAGCTGGACCACAACATTTTGTTGCATCAATGCTGCCTGCCTGGCTGCCTGCCTGCAGCAGAGCACTTGAAACAGACGTCGACGATGACAACTGCCATTAAAGTTGAGTTTAAGTATCTGTAGCTGAGTATCTGAGTATCTAAGTATCTGAGTATCTCTGTGTCTGTAACTGCACTCTGTGTGCTTGCCCCTGAGTATCTGTAGCTGTGTCTCTATTTCTGTAGTGATCTATCTGTATCTGTGCATCTCTGTACCTAAATCTGTGTCTGTGTAGCTCAAGCTGCACTCCGTGCACTTGTACCTGAGTATCTGTATCTGTGTATCTGTCTCTGTAGCTGCGATCTGCATGTGAACGCACTCTAAGTAGCTGCATGTACATGTATCTGTAGCTGCATCTATGTCCTGTCCGTGTATCTATTTATCTATACCTACAGCTACAGTCAATATATATGTATCTGTATCTGTTGCTATGACTGTTATCTATTTCTGTAACTGGATTTACATAAATGTAGCTATATATCTATAGTTGCTGTTTTTATAGCTAAGTATTTGCAAGAGTGCATGGGCATCTATTTTATGTATCTGTATCTTAATGTATGCATTTGTATGGGCATCTATTTTATGCAACTGTATCTATATGTATGCCCTCGTTTATCTGTATCTATATCTGTACCTGTATCTTTAGCTACTGTCTGTATCTGTAAACTGTATCTGTATTATATTTAAGTATCTATGTATCTGTATATATATTTTTGTATATATATATTATGTATCTGTATCTGTATCCTGCACTCACAATGTATGTATCTTGGATCTCTTCATGTCTATAGCCACCTTCTTTGCATAAGTATCTATATCTGCATATGTATCTATGTATCTATGATGGTGTATCTATGTCTATAGCTTCATAAGTATCCTTATCTATAACTGTACCTGTGTATCTATATGTATGTCTTTGCGTATCTCTATCTGTAGTTCGTATATATCTGTGTCTGCAGATAGACTCTCTATATTTATGTATCTGTATCTATAACTGAATTTTCTGTAGCTGTCTCTATGTGTCTGTATATCTGTATCTAAATATGTACTTACTGCTTGTTGCTGTATCTTTACAGTTACACTCTTTAAAGTTACACTCTATGTCTCTGTATCTGAAGATGCACTCTCCACATTTATGTATCTGCATCTGTTTATATGTATCTAAAGCTGCATTTTCTGAATTCATGTATCTGCAGCTTACTCCCTCTTTATCTTTATCACAAGTTTCACTTTATGTAGCCATATCCGTTGCTGTCGATGCAGTCTCCGTAGCTGCAATCTCAGCTTCTATGTCAGAATCTCTGTAGCTGTGCATATGCATGTGGCTTGCTGTCAGAGCCGTTGCAGCCCGCTGTGCACGTTTAATAAATCCGAAAAGGCTTGCATTGAATGCGTTTTCTGTGCAGCAAACACGTCATAATTATGTTTCCTGCGCAAAACTGATTTTCTTTCGTCTTCTGCCTTTTTGTGCAAGTTTCAAAAGTCAATTCAAGCGAAACTCTGCAAAAACAGTTCTGCGGAAATCAATTTGTTTCTTTTCATTTTGTTGGCTTGCCTAAGCGTAATTTGTGTTGAAGACAACTAGATATGGGACCATTTTTGTGGGTTTTCTGCGAAGGCACAAATTTGATTTTAAGTTGAAATATAATGCGGGAGTTCGGTGAAATCTTGAATGTTAAACAAGCTAAAACAGAGTTGTTTGGTTGAAGATTTTTTAAATATTTTAAAAATAATAAGTGTATGTAATTTATATAAAAAATATTATAACTATAAAAATGTAATAAATTAGCTAGGACCTTAAAGCTTTTCTGTCAAGCCAATGGCATCTGCACAGAGTCTTAAAATTGCGCCGATTCCCTCAAGTCATAATGCAGTAAAACAGTTTTCATATTATAAACGTGCGCAAAAAATCATATTAAAATCATATTTAAGTAATGTTAATTAAATAATTTTACCATTTTCAATTTTATTTTGCGCTCAGCTGAATATGAAGCCCTGTTAAGCCCAACCATAGCTCGAAGAGCAGAACATTGTTTAGCAAATTTAGCAATTGTAATTGAAAATGATTTCCCAAACGGGCGAGAGCCTAATGGCAGAACAGTATGAGCTCATACAGAAAACAATGTAATCGAATGCCCGTTGGGACTTAGCTGGAAGCGCTGTCAGCGCTGTCCTCGACGTCAGTTTCAAGCACATGATGCATTGAACAGGGAAAATGGAGTCGACGGCGACGGCGACGTGTCTCTGGACAACGACAGCTGTTTGGCTAACGCTCGCTAATCCATCAACAGCAGTGCCAACAAACAGAAAAACAAAAAAAAAACAATGCCAATAAAATTTCCAATGCATCTAACGGAACCACAGCAACAACAAAAAACAGCTTCAGCTCCATTAGAATACAGACGAGCGAGGCGGGGGAAAAAGGCAGAGCATATTCATATGCATGCGAGCTCCGCTTTTTTATGGCCATAAAAGCGAATGTAAAAGCCATATGCCACGCCCCCAACGCCTATACATTCCTCATGCATTTCGCATCACCTGCAATCTGAGCCGGGCCATCGTCTGACAGGGCCTTAAGAGTAGCAACAACAACAACAATTTCGGTTTCATTTTTATGCTCCAATAAAGTTCAATCAAATGACATCGAAATGGAACTGGCAAAAGAAAAGCTCGCACGATTTTCCGCAGAGCAATAACGCTTAAAAAGGAAAATACTAAAAACCAAAGCCAAAACCAAATAACTTAAAGTCCAACTCACAGGCAATTGACGTGCCGCCCGCCCACTCGATAGGCAAGTAAATGTTAGCGGACTTTGATTTTTCCTTCTGCCTAGAGCAGTTGAGGAGGTCAGCAGCCTGAGCATTGATGGACAGCGACAAGGCGACCTTTGGCAACATATCAAGCACACTGAAAGACCCCAGCAACTAAACCAGGCCAGGGACTACGATAGAATATCTGATTGGAAACCAATCAGCAACCAAAAGGCAATTTGGGTATCAAATTACAGAATTTTTCCAGCAGCAGAATAATGAAAACAAAAATGTGATATTGCAGGAATTTTTAAGAATTTGCTCTTTAACATGCAAGCGATAGTTAACTTACCAAACAAATGTAATTCGATGCATTTTTAAGCAGGGGGAGAGCGAACGAGATGCGAGTGACTGGAGAGGCTGGGGGCGGGTGACCCCACAGAGCATTAGATGAATTTCAAATGGGTTTTAGAGGCACTTAAAGCTGCATTCTTCTGGGAAATATGTTTTGTGGCAACATCTGCAAAGGAACAGGAATTAAAATAAATTAATGGAAATTATATATATCAAATTACATACATACATATAATATAATAATATAAATATATGCATATATTTGCAAAATATTCCAATTTGTAGTAATGTATTAAATTTAATATGAATCATAATATTTATAAAAAATAATATTAATTGAAGTTAAAAATGATTAACAATAATGCAAAAATATATTTTATTTAATTTATTAAATTTAATATCTTTAATAATATTTATAAAAAATTATGAATAATGGAAATAGTTTACTTTTTTATTATTCATTTTTATTATTGCATTATAAAAATATATAATAATAATATTATTAATAATAATTTTAAAAATATTTTAATAACATATAAAGTGAGTTATAAATAAAACAACTTTATATTTAAGCAATTCAAGATTGAAAATTTCTCACAAGCTTAAAACCCAAGTTTTCTATAGATAACACGAACTGCTTCTAGTTATTGTAATAATCATATTTATTATGCTCGAACACATACACACGCAACACGTTTTATATTATTATTATATTATATTATTAGTGATTATATTTTTACTACTCAGAGCTACGTTTGTTATATAACCGATAGGTTATTGCATCCCATGTACTATGCTAATTTATGTCCAGTTCTCATAAGTGAACTATAGTTTTTTTATTTTGATTATATTTATAAAAGTGTAGAACCTGTACAATCAAATTTAGTACCTTAACAACACATGTATATATATGGAATTAGAGCCAAACTAGTCACAATATGAGGAATTCAAAGGAGACAGTTTACACCATTCCCATCGTACTGGCAAAGCCTTGCCGTTTAAGTCGTCTTAGGGGTCTGGCAGGGATTAGACCTCTTGCAAGTAGGCTTCGGTGTCGTTGCAGTCTGTCCGTGTATCTGCTTGTGTGTCTTCCAATCTGCTCTTCGACAGTAAACAGCTTGAGATCTCTGTGGAGTATTGAGCCGCGTATATACCAGGGAGAGTTGGTTATTTGTCGTAGTACTCGGTTCTGCAATACCTGATTGATTGATACCTAATTGGATTTGGCAGCAGCAGAGTGAACAATAGTAATATTTATAATAGATAACTCAAAAGAGCCACCTCTTTCTATCTCTCTATACATGAATATCTTTCTGTGCATCTATGGCTGTCCAGTAGGCCAGTCGTGTCTCTCTGCCCATCGATAGAGCTAGCAATCATATTGCTGCCTTCGATACTTGAGCCTCTAAGTAGCATCTCTCTGTCATATGTTCATGCACTGCACAACCATTTAGCTGTCATAGAATTGATAGACAACATAGATGTGGATAGTACAGTTATGACATACATAACTTTATTTAAATATTAATATACACGTATTGTTAAGTTACTAAATTTGATTGTACAGGTTCTACACTTAATAAAATTAATAAAAAAAAAAAAAAAAACCGAAAGGCAGGCAGCTTGTTATGAATGCAAATACCATATGATATAATATAGCTTTTATTTATATATGAGTGTCTTCTTACTCTCCTAACTTTGCCTTGTTAATTTGTCAAACAACCCTCTTTTATATACTCTATAAAAACTATATAAAGTTCATTTATTCGTTTGCTCATTTGCTTTTAAGCCAAGTTTCGCCTCGCCCACAATTTTCTCTGCTACATAATCGCCTCTAATCCTAGCCATATACAAATCTTGTTTATGGCTTTATAAATTGCAGCTCAACTAATGAGCTCCAACGACTTGCCTTCTGGCTGCCACTACAATTGGCCAGTTCGAGTCTAAAAAATCTTCAAATGCTTTGAAATTTATGCCAAGCTTCGACAAAACCCTCAAGGAACAGCTCTTGAGCTAGCCGGCTCTCTGTCCCTCTCTTTCACTCGTTCTCTATACATATCTCTCTTCTCTTCTATTAAGCTTCAATGTGAAAAAGTTTGCTTCAAATTGTGCTCAAATCAAATGAAATGAAATCATTCTTGAAATTATGAATGGAAGCATTCATTGAAGTGGATTTGGCCAACTTGACTTTCGCTCAGTGTATTTGACTGATAGAGTATTTCAAGAATGTTGTTGTTGTTGTTGGGGCTGGGGCTGCCGCTTTTCATTTGCATGCCATTGATTGGCCGTCAGCTATCGTTTTAGGACTGGACCCGGCTTTTATTCTCTGCTCTTTGTCTTGCTTTTCATATCTAGATATGCGCGCTAAGGCATGTCACTTTGAATTTAGCTAGCTATTTAATATAGTATGTCTTTATATATATACATATATATAAGTAAATGCCTAGGCAACTGTCAGAGGACAGCAGCAGCAGGACGCCTAAGGACACACTTGTCTGAGACGAAGCTCAAGCAGTCTTTAAAGCCGCAGCCTTCAATGCTAGCAATTAGCTAGCAAAAACCAACTAACATTTAATTGTTATTAATTGCCAAAGAGCCAGAGAGAGAGAGAGAGAGAGTGGGAGAGAGTGAGAGAGAGAGAGATAGCTAGAAATTAAGTAATATTTATGTACTTTTTGGCCAGCGGAAACTCATAGCAATTGAGCGCTGCCCACGCACGCCTTTCGCCTTTCGCCTTTCAGCTCTTCGGGCAACCATTAATAAAACGGGATTTGCTGCAGGACACAATGCCAAAGGCAAGACACTCGGGCAGCGCCTCCAATTAATCTCACACGTTCGTCTGTCTGCGATTTCAATTAAAGCGTCAAAAACAAAAAGGAAAAAAAACGCTGAAGAACTTATGAAGATGAATGCCGTTCGTCAAATGCTTATCAATGGGCAGGGACAGCCCTGGCACGCCCCCACCTAGAAATTGCTCAATTACGAAATTAAATTTAATGCCCAGGCTTTTGATCGCACTAAAAGCTTTAATAACTGTAAATTGCTTTCACAAAATTTTTGACACAGTCCCTGGGCAACTACCCCAAGCGGAGTCGAGAAGCCCCAGAAAACTCTCAACTAACTGAAACAGCTGCGCTCTCGCTCTGACTCACTCTCTCTCTCTCTCGCTCTCTCTGTGTCTCCCTCTCTCTGTCTGTCACCTGCATGCCTAGGTGTAACCTGTCGTCGGGCTTTTTGGGCTTTTGGTATTTCGCTTTGCTCTCAACGGCGCGTGACCAAATATTTTAAGGACACTTCAAGCAGCACTTGAAGCACGAATTCGAATTGAAGCGTTATCGAGCTGCATGCCACGGCAATGTTAAATATATACACACACAGACACATACATATATACATCTATATATAAAAACGCCTAAAAATCCAATTAAAGTCAAAAACTTGAATGCGAAACGCGCCTCGAGCTCAGCCATTAACTAATTCTGAAATCGGCTTAAAAAAAAGCAGAAGTGGAGCTTGCTGAAATTTTTGCACCTGTCCCAAAAAAAAAAAGAGAAAAGGGCTACCTTAAGGGCAAAAAGCCGCTTAACGGCATTTGTGTTCATGGAAAATCGCGTGAAAATCATTTTGCATTCATTTTCCCATTTCAATATGATGCCAGCAGCAATTTAAAGCAGCAGCCGCCGCAGCAGCCGCCTCAGCAGCTTCATCAACTCTTCTGTAATTGAGTTAACACTTAAGCAAATTAATTCGTCTCTAACTCGTTTAAATGTGAACATTTCTAACTCAATTGGCGCACAGCCAAACATTCATTTGGATACCCCGAAGCAGTAAACTTCAATCGTACTTTGCGCATGTAACTCAATATTAAAAAATATATATAATTATATATATATATAATATATGTTTTTTTTTAATTGAAAAGTTTACGCCACAGTTGTATTAAAATCGATTTAAACCATATTTTTCAAGCAGAAACTCCCAAATGTTGCAATTAGTTCTTGACTCTTAAAGAGACTTAGATCTAAGTCTGAGACTATATTAAATGTTGTTGTCTTAAGTTTGAATGTTACTGCTCTGCGATTTACAGTCTTAGATACACTTCTATTCAATATAATATATATTAATTCAACGGATCAAATCAAGCCATCAAATCAATCAAAACTTCTTCTCTGACATAACAATTCCATTAACTTCCAGAGCATTTGCTAAGGCTACTTCCGCCATAACAAATTGTTTCTTTGTTCCTACTCAGAAATTGTTTTCATTTCAGTGCTTCAAGTCCAAAAGTTTTTTTTTGCGTGCCCCTAAAAGATGTCCCAAAAACTTGTCTAGAGTGCAACAATTATTTAAAGCATACTTTCGCGCTGACCCATAAAATACAATTCGATTTAGACAAAGCTTAAAGCACACTCGCTCTCTCACTGTCTCTCTCCCTCTCTTTATCTTGAGTTGTGATCGCTATTTGCGTTGGTTTCACTGTTTTCGTCAGTTGCTTTTCGCACTTCACGCTGGAAGGTTTTGCGTTCTGTTTGTACGCTGTGGCCGGCAATTAATCACAATGAGCACCGGGTAAGGTCAACAATATTTGTGCTTTCTTTGCTTTTGCTGCATGCAATGAAGTAATCAACATCAACAATGTTTTATTTGTATCATTTACTCATTTGTTAATATATAGATTAGTGAAGAAACCAGTTCTTTATTATGCGCCACGCAGTCCACCCTGTCGCGCAGTTCAGCTCACAGCCGCTGCTTTGGGACTCGAACTGGATTTGCGGTAAGTTTCGATATCGAAAAAGTTTGCCGACTTTTGCATGCTCTTTGCGCTGCGAATGTTGATTTGCAGCACAGCTCAGCAAAGTTAACAGCGAAATGTTAAGCTACAGTTCTGTTATTAACAGCTGCATGGATAAAATTCGAATACGTAAGACTTTTACATGCATTTAAGCCTAACTGTTAGCTATATGTTAACTGCAACTTATGTAAATGATTATATGTTAACTGACTGTAAACTGAATATACTTATGATGTAAAGCTAATTCTAAGAAGGTCATCAGAAAGCGGCCTGTACTACCTTCTTGTGTGACATGCCCACTGTTGCTCTAATAACTAGTTGCAATTGTATGACATTCAACTTAAACTAACTTCCAATTTCTCTACCTCTCCTTTCGCAGCCCTGTCAATGTGAAGGCTGGCGAGCACATGACTGCGGAGTTTCTTAAGCTCAATCCACAGCACACAATACCCGTACTGGATGACAATGGAGTCGTGGTGAGCGACTCTCATGTGATCTGCAGCTATCTGGCGGACAAGTATGCTGGCCAGAACGATGAGCTCTATCCCAAGAACGAGGCGCAGCGTCGCCTGATCGATGCTCGCCTTTATTACGACTGCGGACACTTGTTTCCGCGTTTGCGCTTCATTGTGGAGCCCGTGATTTACTTTGGTGTGGCGCAGATACCCGAAGATCGCATAACCTACATGCAAAAGGCCTACGATGGCCTGGAACACTGCCTGACAGCAGCTACCTATTTGGCTGGCGACAAGCTGACCATCGCCGATTTGTGCACTGTGGCCACGGTGACCACAGCGGCGGCCTTTGCGCCCATCGAGGAGGCCAAGTATCCCAGGCTAACTGAATGGATAAAACGCATGGAGGCGCTGCCCTACTACGAGGCTAACAATCAGCAGGGTCTCGATATGCTGGTTCAGCTGGTCAAGGGTCTGCTGGCCGAGCGACAGACCTGAATGGCCGGGCATCAATCAATATTGGCAATAATACACGAGATGTTTTCTTTGTCTCTCACTCTCTGTCTTTCTCTGTCTCGCTCGAAACACAATGAGTTTCATTGCGTTTCATTCCAACTTTTTTGTGGCCAGAGGATATATATAAGAGTAGGAAGTGGCACAGGCAGTGCTACACGCAGCTGTTGGCGAAGTAATGGCCAAAGTTTTTTTTTATGGGCTTCGGGGCTAGCAACTTACTGCATAGACTGTTTGAGCGAAATACAAGCCAAACTTTTTGGACGTCTTTTGTTGTTGGCGTTGTCAATGCCGTTGCCATTGCTGCTTGTTAGTCATTGATTACGCGTTGTAAGTGATCGCATTTATAGTTGTTAAGCTTGTTAACAATGTCCTGCGGCCACAGGGGCAACGCTTCACTGTGATTGATTCCGTCAGGCAGCGACAACAAAAGCGATAAGCGACAACAGCAGATAGATATACAACTGGGAGATAAATCCCCATCTGCTTGCTTTACTGACTTTAATGAGGCCATCAGCTGATAATTATCTGGCTGCGCTATGGCAGGTGAAACACGATTCAGCTGCACATCGCTAGCCATAAACCGTTCTTCGATAGCAACAGTTTCTGTAAGACTGTGAGATTTTATGGCGCCGCCTGGAAGTATGCACTAAAAAATTAAATGCGTGCTAACCATAAGCTGGTGTTGCTTTCTTTGTTGTTCGAAATGCAACAAGTATTTAAGACTTGTATTTATGATATGAACATAAATCTATTATTTAATAAATTATTTTGTGATATATGACAACTAAACAAGTTTCTCATTTGCTCATTTTCTTAAGGTTAAGCCTTAAGCACCGAGTCTATGACTTTTTCTAAGACAGCTTAAGAGTATGCCCCAAAAATTTAAGCTGCATTGCTTAAGCCTTTGCTTTGTTTACATATATCGAAGTTCCCCCTTATACAAGCTATATAATAATATATTTATAAGCTATCATCTTAAGCATTTATGTGGTTTATGTCAGTTAAGCAACTAAATTCTGCAGCTATAAAGCATTTAGCGACATTTTCCGACGCCGCCCGAAAGTATGCAACAAAATTTAATATGATTTACCGTCAAGCTTAAGCAAACTTGTGCAGCTTGTTTGCAAACATAAAAGATTATAATTAGCAAGTTTTAAGAACATAGCGAAATTTAAAACGCTTACAAAGCTATTAATTAGTCAAACAAGTTCAATAACCGCTCATTATTTGGCAAAAACCAGCAACTACAAAGCAACTTGCTCATAATTCTTGAAATTATTTACGCCCTCTGAGAGTATGCAACAAAAATGTAATACGCTTTCAGCTCAATTGCAGCCAAGCAAACTTTGGCAGCACAGTTGATTGCACAACAAAATAAACGAAAATTTAGAGCCATGCTTAATTGCCAGCTAATCAAGTTCGTTTGTTAGCTGCCACACGTCTGGCAGCATTATTGCCATGGCTAGCATAGTCAAGTCCAAGTTGCAAGTTGTTTTTCAACTGTAAGCCACAAACTTTTGGCACTTTGCAGTTTTATTGTTGGCCACGTGAAGTACTTGACAACTTTAACAGCAAACAGCAGGAATAGCCAGCGAGAGCAACGAAAATTGCAGCAGCAACAAAAGCCAGAACAACAGCTGCACTAAATGCTAAAGCAAACATGGCGCACTTCACAACACGCTACTTCTTCTTTTTTCTGTGTTTTTCTCTGCGCAGCATATGCAATGTGACAGTCGCTAGAAGATACACACACACTAATACACTCAAAGGGAGTTAGTCACACACACACACACACACACAAATACTAGCTGACGTATACACTCAGGCATAACCTATATTAGTTTAGACCACGTTTTAGTATCCACGAGTGCAGCAGCCTAATGGCTACACACACACACACACCTATACACACACTGTGTTGCTGGCATCGTTATTTGTTGTCATTTGATGTTGCACATGCCATCGAATTAACTTGCCACGCGGCCAGCAAACAGCGCAAACACTTTTTGGCTTTTGGCGCATAGCGCAAAAAGTTTTCCATTTTCATTTTTCGTTTTTCCGTTTTTTCCGTTCTTGCCACAGCATCAAAAATTTTTGTTGCCCAGTGTCGGACCACACTAAAGTTTGGGTCAACTTTCTGTTTCGTTTTTGGGCACACACACAAAATGCCATTAACTCGACTGTTTTGTAGCTTTTGTACCTCGTCCCTTATGCTGGATTAAAATTTAATACTTTGCACAACTACAACAGCGACAACAACAACAAGAACAAAGCACGTTAAATACATGCTAGAGCTCAGGCGACTGTCAATTACACTGCTGCTTAAGTTGTTAGAAAACTTTTGTTGTTGCATTTTGGATATAAGTGAAGAGCTGAATTGAATTTAACTGAGGTCGAAGACACGTTAAATGTTTCAACACATTTAACGTGTCTTCGACCTCATGAATGTAATGAAGAAATGCATTGAAATTGGTATCAAATTCAATTAAATTTAATTTCATTCTTTAGCTTACTCTTTACGCATGACGAGAGTATCTTTTTGAGATTAAGAAAAACGTATGAAATATTCCTAACACATTTGTTCTAATCCTTGGCAATATAAAGGTAAACTCTTGATCTACTTAATCTCTAGTCTAACTTAACTGCGAAAATAAAATATAATACTAAAAATCTAGGAGCTATTTTGAGTTTTAAAAAAACAAGTCGTATACGTAATATTATAAAATGAAAGACTAAAACCAGGTCGTATACTTAATATAAACAAATAAAATACAAAATTTGCATTTAGTTTATCTAAGAATTAGAGCTCAAGCTCTAATTTAGTAAATTTTTGGAATGCCTTGCAAATTTTTAATGAATACTCGGGTCGTATACTTAATATAATAGAATCGATGCGATTTTTGTACTGCAGAATCTTAGAAAATGCAGTTTGAAAATACTGTGTAGGCTGAACTTTTAACTCTAGTATCTATCTATATATATTTTATTTTATTTATATATTTTATATATATAATTTGATAATTTTATAAATATAAAACATTTCTTTTATTAAGAATATTCCAAAATGAGAATATTCATAAATGAGAGATGCTCAATAAATGTCAAATTCATATTTATAGTCAGAGTGAGAGTTAGAGTTACAGTTAGAGCTGAAGTTAGAGTATAAACAAATCATTCTTCTGGACATATAAACAATACTAAAAGTTTAAGCCCTTTAAGAAACCAACTACAGTTCATCTTTAATAGCTTAGAGTATGAATAAAAAATTGGTTAAAAAACTTACGGCAAAAGAAAAAGTAAAAGAAAAACAACTGGGAATATGACAGTTGAGTGTAACCGGCTGTAGCATACTCAATTTCAATAAAAATAACTGAATAGGCAGGGCTTATATTGCATTCGACTATCTGTAGAGCTCTAGGAGGAAAAAGCTTTGTCGATTGATTTCAGCTCTATGAAACTGAGGAATATATATTATTATATTCAAATGCAAGTCTCTCGTCTTAATAGCAAAGAAATGCTTTACCTTCATACAGACAGACACCCATATACCCCGTTCACATCGTGAACGAGCAGCACAAAGTTCGGCTGGCGAGTTAAGTAGAGTCAACACTGTAACCGAAACTGAAAGCGAATCGGACGTGAATGGAGTTAACAGAAAACAAAAAATAAAAACCAAAAATAACAAAAATATCAAGAGGAGAGCAACAAAAAAAAGGGGCAGTCGTATCGAGAATGTAGGCGTGTCCGGGCTGGCTAGAGCGAGTCCTTTACGAGTTCGGTTTGCCGTTGCTAGTCATGATTAATGATGCCGTTGTGGGCTCGCATTTCCGCTTCGTTTAAAGTTGAAATGTCGTTGGCCATCTGCTGTTTTCGGCTTTGTTTTGTTGTTGTTCTTGCTGTTGGGTTTATCATTGTTTGCCTTTTGTGGGTTGCGGTTTGTTTAACATTGAAATTAACTTTGGCCATACAATATTTCAATTTCATTACAAATTTAGCCGTAAACTGCAATAATATGTGCTATCTATGCCAAATATTCAATGCATAACAATGTGAACACACACACACACACATCACACATATATATGCATGCTTCCTCTGTCATATAAAATGCATCTGCAATAATCTATAATGGAAATTTCAATGGCCATAACGAGTTTTGTATGCCAGCTCACATTTCCAATTGGATTCTGATTCGCTTCGTTAAAATCTGATTCGAATGCCAGCAATTATTTTCGCCCAAATTGGCAGGGGATATGAGGAAGGGAGAGCGAAACAGAAAGAGAGAGAGAGAGTGGAAGGGGTCTTGTTAGGGCAGAGCAGGCAACTACATGATTCTGCTCTTGAGCTGCTGTCGGGCAAATTAAGTGAATCGAATAGAGATGAGCGCTTATCGATACTTTACGATAGTCAAACGAAAACAAAAATAAGTAAGCACGAATATTTATAAGTTGATTTCATTTTATATTTATAAGGAAAAATTTAGATTTGAATTTTGCTAAATTATAAATAAAATAAAAGAAATTAGTTATAAATAGATCAAATAATTTATGGATTTTATGATGAATTAGATTTAAATTATATAATATTTTATTCAAAAATTTCTTTATAATCCGCTGAAATTCTTAATGTAAATTATAAAAATTATATGTAGAAAACAAATCGGATAATTTTTATATTCGCACGCCTTTCGAGTCATGTTGCCATGTGCACTCCCATCCCTAGCATAAGCCCAACATATTGGGAACAACACACATGTGCCATGTTGGCAAAGCCCATGCATAGACTTTTGGATTACTTGAGCAGAATTTTCGAGCGCGCAATGACACCTAAGTGAGGGACTGAAGCGAACATCATTTGCAATGCCAGCTGTGTCAGCTCTCAAATTTAAAGCAGCATTTGTGCTCAGTTGATTCAGGTCAATCAGTTGAATCGCTATCGTCTTAATGCCAATAGATGCCACTTAATGCAGCTGCAACTGGCACGAATTGCTAATCAGAGCACAATGCCGCGTTTAGTTGCAAGCAAAC